TCATCATGAACTTGTTTGGCATCCCGCTCAATCTGATCGTCGTGGCCGTCTTCCTCTCCATCGGCAAGCTCGGCCTCGCCGGCGCCTTCGCTTGCTCCTTCTCCGCCCTCGCCCACGCCCTCGTCGCGCAGCTGCTGCTCCGTCACACGGTGCGGCACGACAAGGCGGCGGCGTGAGGCCGCGCCCGAGCAGCACCGGCGCGGGACGACCTCTCTGTACGCAGCGTGTCCCACGCTCTCTCTGTTGACCCTCTCCAGCTCCACCGAGGTCCGAGCGCTCACACACAACATTGCCATCGTTGCGGCACTCTACGCACTAAAGCCGTACGGACGTTTTATATGTTCAAAGGGGGTAAGGGCCCCGCCGCACCGCGCCACGCCCCGCACGGCGCAGATTTGCAGTCACACAGATCACAGTCCCCAACTGCAACTCCGCGCCCGGCCACACCACGCCAGGGGCCAGGTGAACAGCGAGGTGGGCGTGGTCGCGGCGGTTTGCGACCTTCTCGGGCGTGCCGAAGGGCGTAGCGGCGCGGGAGGCGCCGTAGGAGGAGAGGAGCAGCTGGGTGCACTCGAGGTGGCCATTCTCGCACGCAACGAACAGCGGCGTGGCGCCCTCCTCTGCGGCCTGGTCGGCCGCCGCGCCAGCGTCCAGGAGCAGCCGGACGATGTCGACGTGGCCTTGCCAGCATGCGGTGTACAGCGGCGTGTGGCGCCATCCGCTGCGGCTTGATTGTTCGCCGCGCCGGCCTCGAGAAGCAGCCGGACGATGTCGAGGTGGTCGTTCTCGCTCGCGATGAGCAGCGGCGTGGCGCCATTGGCCTTGGCTTGGTTGATCGCTGCGCCAGCCTGCCGGAGCACTTGAGCGCACTCGAGGTGGCCCTCCTGGCACGCCTTGAAGAGAGGCGTGGCGCCGTCCTCCTCGGCTTGGTTGACCGCCGCGCTGGCCTCGAGGAGCAGCCGGACGCACTCGAGGTTGTCGTTCTGGCACGCGATGAGCAGCGCCGACGCGCCGCCGCTGCTACCACCGTCGCCGCCCGTCGTCGCCCCGACGCTCGCGCCGGCCCCAAGCAGCAGCCGCGCCGCCTCGGCCTGCCCGTGACGCGCCGCCCAGGTGAGCAGCGTGTCTTGCTTCTCGGTGTCGAGCCGCGCGTCAAGCTGGGCCGCGAGCGACGTGCCGCGCGTCGGGCCGGAGAGGTGGGCGCGGAGCGAGGCGATGTAGGCGCGGAGCGAGGCGAGGTCGGCGGCGGCGATGTCGGCGAGCAGCGAGGCCGGCAGGGTCGCGGCGGGCGCCACATCACCGAGTCGAGATGCGGCGGCGACGCCAGGAATGGCGGTGTCTACAACGGCGTACGCCAGCGGAGGGAACGGGAGCCGAGGCGGAGGGAACGGGCGGCGGCCTCGCGCTTGGGCCCCCCAGGCGCTTTTGGCTAGTCGTGTGAAAGGGGGACCTGCAGCGAGCCCAGCGGTACCTGCCTCTTTGTTCGGGCAGTTGGAAGGCATCCATGGAGGGCTTGCTTACGTGTTGCTTGGGGGAGGGGGGCGCCCTAAGCACAGCCCCCAGCGCAGGCGACGCAACGACTGATGAGAGACGCAGGATCTGCACGCCAAAGTGAAAGTGGGGCCACTCCGCATTTTCAAATTGGTTTTGGGTGTCGGAGATCATCCATCGCAAGCATCATTGCTAAAAATCTCTCTCTCGCAAGCACTCATCAGTCAGTCACGTCAGTCAAAGCCGCGCCGAGCCGGTCTCGGCGGGAGACCTCGGAGCCGCACGCGATGCGGGCGTGCGCGATGGCTCCGTTGGCTCCGTACCTAAGGCAGATAGATTAGGGTGTGAGCTGCGGCAGCCAGTCGGAGGCCGCGATGGATGGCCCACAGGGCCGGCGGCGGTGAAGGCGTCCGTCGATGAAGGGATGTTGTCGAGGGAGCCATCGTCCTCCGCGGCTGGTGCACCGGTCCAGTTGTCGGAGTTCGAGATCGCAGTCGACTTGGAGAGTTCGGCCCGTTGACGAACTCACGGAATGTGAGCGACTTGGGGCACGCTGGGTCGAGCATCATGGCTCGCACCTCATCCTTCGGCCCAGGGACCAGCTGTTGGCGTCGCCGTTTTGATCGAGCTGCATCCACTGCATGGTTTCCACGTAGTCAAGCGTAAACGCTCAGGAGCTGGTGCCTGGGTGACTTGCTGATGAGAGCGCCTTCCAGGCGGCTAGTCGTGCCCCTCCCCCTAGCGCCTGGGCTGGGCTGTCCTGGCGGCTTTGCTGCCAGCGCAGTCGTCGCGTCCAGACCGAATGCCTCACGCACCACGTGCACGAGCCAATCGTCCGACGGCAAACCATCTTCCAGCTGCTCTGCTGGGCATCGGCACTGCGTCTCGCGTTGCCCCCTGGAACCGCGCCAGAGACGCAGCGCAGCAGTTGCCTTAAGTGAGTCTTTCGCTAAGCGCGGGTTAGCGCGGGTTAGTGTGTACTTGTTACGTGAAAACCCGCTGGGACCCAGCCTGGGGGGTCGCAGGAGGGGGGGGCAGAAGGTAAGATATGGGTGAGGCCAGGGGTGGGGACCTAGAATAAGTCAAAGGACATGTTCTCGGCCCCGCCATCGCCGCCGTCGCCCTCGTCCGCCTCGGAGGCGGAGGTCGTCGGGCGGGGCGTCTCGCCCGTCGCGAACCTGCCGCCGAACATGGCGTCGGCCGGCGCCGAGGCGCCGGCAGCCGTGATCAGCTCGGCAACCTTTCGGTCCCTGCAGGCCGCATCAATTTTGCCTCGCCGGGACGGCTCGCAGAGCTCGCTAGCGAGCCAGTCCCGGGCAACCTTCGTCGCCACGGAGCCCATAGGGACCGTGGCGTACACCATGTCACCGAACCCGCTGCCCCCCTCGGGAGGCAGCGAGTACCTGTGACCTCTGACAGCTGGTCTGGACAGAGGCACCTGACAGTGCCTGACAGTGCCCGACAGCCCAACAGATCACCTGACAGCACCTGACAGCCTGACAGCCAGGGCTCAGTCGAGGAGGTCTCCAAGCATCCGCTGGCGCGTCGGCGGTCTTTCCCGGTCTTGAGCGCCTCGACGAGGTCCTGGAAGAGCGGGTGCGACACCTTGCTCGCCCCGACGTTGAGGCCGTAGAAGAACTCTCCGATCGCCTTATCGCCCTTCCTACATACAATGGTCAGTACACAGAGACACTGCAGCGGGAACTTGTTGCGCAGCGGGAACTTGACCTGCGTGCCGATAAGATTCATCGGCTGCCGAAGCAGCTTGTATTTTTGCACTTCAAGCCGAGGCTGGGCCTTTTCTTCCTCTTTGGTGGCATAAAAGCGCTGGAGCAGAGACAGAGGTGTCATAAAACTGAAGTTTGTTCTCAGGAGGGTGGTGTTTAGAAACACCGGGGATTGGGTGGTGGCCGGTTGTTTAGCCGCCGAAGCCGTAGAGCGTGCGGCCCTGGCGCTTGAGCGCGTAGACGACGTCCATGGCGGTGACGGTCTTGCGGCGCGCGTGCTCGGTGTAGGTGACCGCGTCGCGGATCACGTTCTCGAGGAACACCTTGAGGACGCCGCGCGTCTCCTCATAGATGAGCCCCGAAATGCGCTTGACGCCGCCGCGGCGCGCGAGGCGGCGGATGGCGGGCTTGGTGATGCCCTGGATGTTGTCGCGCAGCACCTTGCGGTGGCGCTTCGCGCCGCCCTTGCCGAGTCCCTTGCCGCCCTTTCCGCGTCCAGACATGTCTGCTGTTTGTGTTGGTTGTGGTGCGGTCGATGATTGCAATGGGGCTCCACCCTGCTGGGATTCAGAGTGCGGTGAGGGGCAAAACCCTGCAGCGGCGCGCTGCAAGGCGCCCGAAGGACGTCGCGCCCACTCGCCCGCCCGCGCAGCACGGCCGCCGCCCTCGCCGCCCTCCTCGTCCGCCTGCCCGGCACCCTCGCCCACGCCGACGGCCGCGGATGGCTCGTCGCGCCCTCCGGGCCGGATCGTGGCAGCCGCAGGGGCTCGCCGACTCGTCGCCGCAAGCGCTGAGCCGGGGCACGGCTGCATGCCCGAAACTTGGTCTGATCGGCGCACAGGCGGGAAATCAGGTGTCCGGTCACCCCCCATATTCGGCATCTTGCCACGAATTTCACTTTCACATCATCTCGTGAGCCGCTCTCGCTGAACTGCGCCCCTCTGTTTGGCTGTGCCCTAATCTCGTGTCCACGATCTGATGCGCCGCCTCCGGATTCTCACGAGTCCCCTCGCCCGCCGCGCAGGAGCGATCGACTCGAACGGAGCGGCTCCAATTCTCCCACAACACCTCGAGACCCCCCCACATCCTCCTCCCGTCGACCACCTGCGCCCTCTCTCACTGCCCAAACGGCGGTGGCGGGGCGGATGCGGCGGCGCTCCGCCTCCGATGGCGATCCGGTCCGCCGCCGTGTGGATGAGCGAGCCGTCGGCCGAACGGCCGCGGGCACCCGAGGTACGGTCATCACGACACGACACCGAGACCAATCTCCAGGACGCATCTGCCGGCACCCATTCTTCTCTCCCGCCTCTCGCGCTGTCGCCTCTGCAACGTCCCACGAGTACCGCTGCCCGCTTGGCACACAGACGGTGCCCTTTCAGCCTCGGCAGCCGGGCAGCCGGGCAGCAGAGAAGCCGCGCGCGGGCGAGGGAGGCGGCGAGGAGGAGGAGGCGGCGGCGGCGGCGGCGGGGCGGCATCATCGTCGGCCCTGCGACGTGGGCCTTGAGAGAGGAACGCGCGCGCACTGCACTGAGGCGCACAGCGCGCTCGCCGCCCGGCGGCCGCCGCCGTAGCAGCTCAGCGAGGTAGCCGTCACCTCACTCGCGCCGCTGCCCTCGAGCCGCTGCTCTCGATGAGCGCGCGGCCTGGCGTGACGCCAGTCTCGCTGCGTGCGCCAGTGGTCGGCACCATCGTCCACTACACCGC